CTTGCAAAAAAGGAATTGGGAGCAGTTGCCGGTAAGCGCGAAAAACCGCACGCCCGAAAAGGGCGCGAAGCAACGGAAGCCCCGCCTCCTGCGCTTGCCAGCTGGGCTCTGCCCTAGGAAGAAGGCTCTGGCAAACCACTTCCGAAAAACAATTGCCTTGAAAACTGCAAGGACTCGTCCAAGCAGTCACTGCAGGGTCAGCAATGTCTGAGCGAAAAAAAAAAAAAAAAAGTAAAATACTTTACATTAAAATAAAGCTATCTATATCTACTTCTCTTGTTATTTTTAAACTGTACTTCTTTTAGCATAGCCTTTTGAAAAAACTGCTCCAAGCACCTTCCTTACTAAATAAAAGACACACACATTCAAAAATCGCTTTCCACAAGATTTGGGTCCCAGAAAACACTAACCTCTCCTGATCCAGCCAGAGGGAATGACATCTGGGAATCAGCACCTCTGCCTCTAACAGGCCTGTAGTCCATGTATGCCTGGCCCAGTTGTGATTTATAAGCCCATTATGACCAGCAAGACCAGTAAGGGACCCACTGCCTGCCTCCCTTTCTGTTGGAGATTTGGTTGACAAAAACCTGACACCCCCCATGGTTTACCCAGAAGTTCTTGACTCCTGGATGGTCCCACCAGTAACTAGAGCTATGAAGAAAGGAGGAGGTGTGTGTTGAAAGCCACCAACATCCCTTAAAAATCAACCATAGAAACCAACCAAGTCAGGGAACAAGCTAGAATGATTCTATTTTTAAATGCATAGGAAGCTGAATTAAACCTCTCCTCTCTCATGATGTACATTTTGAGAAACACAGTGATAATTATATCATGTTCGTTTGCATTAGAGATTGGAGGCAATCAGAAAACCTGAGACTAGATTTGCTTTTTTTGCAGGCCATGGAACGTCTGAGGGGTGATTAGACTTCAGTGGTCCAGTCCTGGAACAGATTCAACGGTCTGACCTGCTGCTTTGATTTCCAAGGCAACCAGGAAGCTGTGATGCTAGTTGAAGGCAATAGTGCACATGTCCTTTAAAGAATACCCCCAGCCCCAGAAGAGGGGGCAGAGAAAGCCTTCCCATTTGCCACTCCAAACCCCACCTCCATCAAACAGGCCAGGAGATGGAGGAAAAGGGCATGACGGAAAGATGGAATAGTGGAAGATCTGTCTCCTGCTGACTCTGTCTACTTTCGGTGGCTCTGCCTATTTTGATGGGGAAAAAAAACCTGGAACAGAGTTCCCACAACCAGCAAAAAAGGTCAAGCCTCCCTCAAGTTGAGCTTGACTCCTGGTGATTTCATGAACATGGATATGCCGTTGTTTTGGTGGCCACACAGATGTGGTTTGTTGCTGCTTCTCCCACTATGTTTTTT